TGGCGACGAGATCCCCGAGCGGACCCTGTTCTATGACGTCACGGATCTGCTTCGTCAAATTCACGGGCTTGAGGGTAGCAAGCGAGCGAGGCCGCGAGAGCATGACGTAGACACTCAGCCATCGGATGGCGTTTTTTTTCCGTTTCAACCCCAACGAGTTCTCCTGCAGGGGCTGGGGCGGAGACAGCCCGCAGAATATTTACCCCGCCAAAGTTAGGCGGGGAGACAAGGCCACGAGCAGGATCCTGCAAGTGGAAAAGCAGCACGGACCGCCAGCCCTCGACTGCACAAGAGGACGGGCGGTCATCAGCCAGGATGCTGGGTTGCGACGGTGTTGGGGCTAGGAGCCTGAGCTCCAGTCCACAGCAACACCCCAAAAGACGAGAGACCGACGGGGCGAGGAGCCCCCGTACCCCCGAGAAAATAGACGCCTCCTCGAGCGTCGCGCATACCAAGATGGCGGGGAGCCAGTACGCGAGACGAACGCGTGCGCACACGAGGCCACACGAAAGAAGAGGAGGGCCTAGGCGTTGGGGCCAGGGGCGACTCTGTCTGGCCTCTGCAAACGCCAAATTCGAGCGACTGTCGGGATAAACTTACCCCCTGTGCTCCGCTGAAGGAAACCCTCAGGATGTGCGCACAACTTCCCCCTGAAGCGGGGCGCCAGACACACGTGCAAACACGAAGCGAACGCGATCGGAATAAGAAGGGCCCACACAAGGACGACGAGGCCTGCCCCAGGTGCTGGTGCGCCTGGACGACATGGCCTCGCCCCAGGTGTAGAGCCGCGGCATAAACGGAAAAATAGAAAGGCCGAAGGCCACAAACACAAGATAAAAGTCGACCACCCACACATGGACGACGAGGTCCCCAGCCCCTGGTGCAGCGAGCGCCAGGACGGCTGATGGCCTCGCCCCAGATGTGGGGTAAAGCACGGATGCCTGCCAAAAGCGTCAGTTGCATCGGGCCGTGCTGGGAATAAGAAAGAAGTCTAAAGCCATAATAAATAAACTAATCAGAACTGCGGCGCCTCCTCGCCAAGAGAGTGGGATTGTCCCGTCGCGGCTCTTGATGGGCATTTCGCTTCTGCAAAGCAAAAAGGAGCTCCGAGGCCATATCCTGCAGGTGAGCCTCCTCCTCGGAATCAGTGTCCTGCGGGGGGCCCGAGGGGGCAGGGAGGTGCCTGTAGGGGCCTCGGGGCAGGCGGGCTAAGTCCGAGCTGGAAATCGGGCAGTCGACGCCGACGGAAGGTCTTTCGGGGTGGCGCCCCTTGGAGACCTCCGACCACACCCTCCTTCCAACGCGCGATGGGCGAGACGGGCAATGGACCAGCAAGCCTCTAAATCTCCCGTGAGAAGAGTAGGATTTGCAAGAATTACAAAGAATAAAAGTAGCCCCGTCAGAACATTCCAAACCGATGCAGGAGCGCCCTAAACTGCTGACCCGTTGTAGAGGCAGCTCCCTCGTGCCTGGGCAGTCCCCCGTGGGGGGCTTCCGAGGCCAGGGGCAACGTCGCACTTTGAGGCAAAGCAGGCACTTCCAAAAAGTTCCAAAGTGTCGCCAGAAATGCATCCCTTTGCCAGCTCTCACTGGCTTAGACGGCGGACGTACTCTACTTCTCCATACTCGCGAAGAGGAGCGTAGTGGGGGAGAAGGTGCATCGCCAGGGTACAATAAGCTCTAGCAAATTTGATGTCGGTGGTGAGCAATTCCTCGCGAGGGCGGCCTTGGCCAGGGCATCGGCCTGGTCATTCCCTTCCCTCCAGAAACGAAGCTGCGGGGAAATCGAAACGTCGTCGGCCGATCGGTGGGGTCTGGCATGCGAAACAAGCGAAACACGCTTAAATCCTGGCTCAGCCCTAGCTTGCAACAGATGTCCTGAACACACGCCTTTATCACTGAGTTGCCTGGATCGGCCGGCCCCAAAAAAATTGACAACCTTCCCGCAGTCGGGAACTATAGACGAGGGGCCCGAAATCAATTGGACCCCCGCCAAAAAGGCGCAAAACTCTCCAGCCTGGGGCGTCTGAGGGAGGTGAGCCCAAACGGGCCCCGAGGCTGTGGCAAGCAGTTCCTGGTCGGGACTGTACAGGGCGACTCCCCAGGCGGCTCTGGACAGCTCTTTAATAACTCTTCTCGAACACGAGCCGTCTACGAAAACCACACCTTCAAACGATTCTGGCTGGGGGGGGGGTTCGAATGCCAGGCGATGTTAAGCTCATCGTCGTCCATATGCCGAGGAGGAGGGTGAAGGTCTCCAGGGTGAGGGGGGGGGGGGGGGGGGGGGGGGGGGCATGGGTAACCACAAACAACTTGTCCGACGAAGTCACGTAATCGAACAGAGAATCTAGGAGTTCCTGGCCAACCAACTCGGATCGGAGAGCTCGCAACTTCGGACGCATCCACAGGCGGTGGAAAATCGAATCAGCGGGCGCACTGCATAGCTCGCATTCTGCAGGAAACTGATACCCACAGCCACGAGCCTTCATTCGAGTCCAAATGCCGTCGCACGCACAGATCCTCAGAATCCGTTTTTGAAGGGGAGTAAACTTGGAGGAGGCCAAGAAAGAGGAGACCACATCGTAGCAGAGGCGGCCATGCCCGAAACAGTACTTGTGCGCCAGGTAGCGCTCGAGTCTCCTAAGGACCGCAGCTCGAAGGTGTTTCCTAAGGAGGGCGGGAGAGGTGAAAAACAGCTCGCGAGAGTTCCCGAGATCGTCAATCAGCCTGTTAAACTCAGGCATCCCCCAACCAAGACCCACAAGGGTCAGGTACATTCCCGACAGGGGGGCCATCGCCCCTCTCCAGGTACGTGGGGGGCGGGCCCAGACGCTACCCCACCACTTTCGCAGCAAGGGGATCGGGAACGCGGCAGCGTGGAGATTACTTGAAGAGGCCCAAAACTCACGATGCCATCTGCTGATGACAGAGACTTGCACTTGCCAAGTGGGGTCGTTTTCAAGGAGCATCAGGGCCGAAAGCGATCTACGCATCGTTGCGGGAAGGACCAACAGGCCACCAGAGCGGGACCTGCCGCGGCGCGCTGCATCGAGTAAAGCGGGACGGCCGCCGCCGGCATCAGCGGCATCTGTGTCCGCGAGATTATGACGTGTTTGGTCTTCTCCGCTGGTGAGTAGAAGTGTTTGAACGCACACGGCCTAGGCCGGATGGCCATGACGCCAGGCTGTGCAGCACTGGTGCAGCGAGTGCACGTTGAGCTGCGCTCGGGATGCTCCGGACACACTGCTGGTGGTAAGAGCTGGGTGTCGCACTCATCCAGCTTCAAGCAAATAGCTTTCGGCATGAGAGGACATGCGAAGTCCGCGGTGCGCGAGGCGGATGGTGACCGAAGCCTGCTTTTCGTGGCGAGGTCGGCGGGGCCTGGGTCAAAACCGACAACGGTGCCCTCGACGTCCTGCACAGCAAAACGTTGCTGGATGGTGGTCGCGAGCCGTACTCGCATGCGTAATGGAAGAGCACCACCGGTGGAAGGCGCCTCGTTTTCTGGATGCTGGGTATCCGAAATAAGTCCTCGTAGAACTGTGCCGTGTTCGTCTCCGGCATGATGGCCTTGGCTTGGTCCACGGCTTGCACGTAAAATTGAGTTTGCCAGGCCTCACGGGCGGACTGACGTGCGAGCATGAACGCGGCCATGCTGATGACGCTCCAGCAGTAGCAGGAGTGGTACCACGACGCTGGGATGTCAGGCTGTTCAGCACTGACATCGGTGTTCTTGAGGGCCTGCCACTGTTGCTCCGCGAGGGCGCTGCCGCCAGGCACCCGCATGATGTTCAGAATGTCGATGAGCGCCTCGTCGTCGCAGCGCATAGCCTGTTGGAACTCGAACACCAAATCCGTGTCACGGAAAATCTCGGCCCCGACTTTGCGCTCGTCCGCAGTGCCCTCGGAAGGCTCCACGTTGAAATCTCCCCCAAGGACCCGCGGCTTGCCAGCCGTGGAAAGGCAGAGCCCCAGGCTGGAGAGAATATCCACGTTGCGGCCCGACAGGCCCTCCGAATGGTGAAGGTAGGCCGACGCAACCAACATGGGCGGGGCCCCATGGGAGCTCGAACAAGCAAGCCACGGCGCGCCCACGACACACCTGGCCCCCAGGAACGCCCAGGCAGCCCATCCAGGAACGCACGAAAATGGCGACACCACCAGACGAGTCGTTAGCCCCCGTGGGCGTAGCGGGCGACCAAACGCTCTTCCAACCACGGCGGAGGCTCCAGGCGCTAGCCTGATCGATATCTTCCGCCCGAATCAAGCGGTGCTCCTGACAGAGCAGAATGCGCTGCGTCCCCAAGAGTTGCAATTGATGGACTGAATCCTGAGAGGCACCCCTTCGACCTGGAAAGGAAGACTCGAAGCGCGCGACCGCGCTTCCTGCGCAGCGGGGGCGGGGCCCGAAGCGCCATTACCCTCGCGTTATGAGGCAAATTTACAAACAAATCTGGCAAATAGTGGGGACGAGGACGGCTGCTGCCCACAGCAATCCGTCGCTCCCGTCGGCACCGATGGGGCAGCGAGAGGAAGCCGAACCATTGCGGCGCAGCCAGGAGACGCTTTGGCCAGAGACATAACAGGGCACACGTCCCTGGGCCGAGCAAACGAAATCGAAGCCTGCTGATTGAACAAAGAACACTCGTTATAACAGTGCTGCTGTCTGGAAAGAGCAGCGTCCGCACGCGAGAGCAAACATCTCCAGCGGACGCCAGGCTGCGCACGCTGCGAAGAAGTCAACCTCGAAACCTGGGTGTTCGAGGAGGAGGCGATGAGTAGAGGCATACCTCGCCTGCGCCAGAGAGCAACCTGCGCCGAAGAGCGGCACGGCCCTTGGAACAGAAAAGACCCATGGCCCCCCTGGAGGAAAACCATGAAAGAGCCAGGAGACATCCAGGAGGACCCGCAGCCCCAGACGAGACGCCGAGGTCCAGGTGCCCAGGATATCTAGGTTCCTCCAGGGGGGGACAGCCTCAGAAGCCTTGCCAGCGATCCTATCAGCCCTCGTCATCGCACTCGGCCTGGAAGGGGTAGACGACGCCGCCGAAGGACCCGAAGCTGTCGGAGCAGTAGCCGTTGATGTAGCCGCCTCCGCGCCAGCAGGCGCCGAGCCGTCGTCGGGCTGCGACGCAGCACCTTGGGCGTGAGGAGCTGCATCTCCACCTGAGACACCTTGACCCTGCTCTCCTGTGCGACGCTTCTTGGCTGCCATCCTCGCTGCCAACTGCTTATGTTCAGCTTTGAGCTCATCGACCCCGGCCTTCGCTTCTGCGAACATTTTTTGCCATGTCCGAGATGCCAGACTTGAAGAGATCCCCTCGCGCCGATAACTGCTGTAGTTCTTCAGGCGAGAGTGATTCCTCATCCTCAACAATATTGAAGCAATCTCCCACGTCGAGGTCGAAGGCCGCCGAGAAGCGCCGCTCATCCAGCAAGTCTTCGAGGCTGAGCTTGTTGCCTGGAGCGCCAGCTGCTGGCTGCGATTGACCGTCTGGGAGCTGATTGTGCAGCTGACGCACCAGGCCGCTGTGCTCTGCCTCCACGGCTTCCAAATCCGCCCTGAGCTGAAGCACGTGGGACTTCTGCGCTGCCAGTTGCTGTTCGAGCTGTTCGAAACGGTCCATGGCACTGTTGAGTTTCTTCTCCACTGCACGAGCCTGCTGGTGGGCACGGTTGAACTTCGTCTGCAGGGGGACCTGGTGCTGCTCTGGCGCCTGACGCGACTGAGCCGATGTCCTGTAGCCTCGAGCACCGTGGAGGTCGCCTGCCTTCTCGCACAAAGCGGCCATCTGCAGATATTCCTCCACAGAGAGTTTTGAAGACGGAGCAGACGCCGTAGTGTTCGAGCCTTCGTCACCAGCCGAGCCCTTGCCGACGGCACCTTTGCCTCCACCGGCCTGAGTGCTCTTGAAGAGCTCGAGGGGCGATTTCCCCGAAGCCCATGCGCCACTGAGGTATGTAGACTCCGACTTGAGGCCACCACTGTGTTTGCAGTAGTAGAAGCGGTGCTCGTTGCGGCGACATCCACACAGCAAACATTCCCAGCGGGAAGGAGCAGCATGAGGAGCACCGCCTCCACCATCACCACCATGGTCTTGAAGGCCAGGGACGAGCGGGGGCCAGACCTTGGGGTCGCGGGGCCTCGGCGGGCGGACAGCGCCTTTGCCCGTCCTTCCTCCATCGGGCGGAGGGGGCTGCGACCAACTGCGGTGCCACGGCACCCATGAGACCACACCTTTGCCGCCTCCGCCCTTCCTCGCCATGGCCTGGCCGAAGAGTTAATCGTGAAAGCGTGTGGGTTGAGATCCCGCGAACTGAAAGGAAACCACACGAGCCAATCTGGCTCGCAGCAGCTATATGCCGTTGTGAAGAGAAGCTGCTGCAAGCGCAGGCACAACGCCTGAACCACAACGGCTAGGAGGAGGAGGAGGAGGAGGGAGGAAAAGGAGGAGGAGGAGGAGGACGAGGAGGAGGAGGACGAGGAGGAGGAGGACGAGGAGGAGGAGGAAGAGGAGGAGGAGGAGGAGGAGGAGGAGGAGGAGGAGGGGGAGGAGGAGGAGGAGGAGGAGGAGGAGGAGGACGAGGAGGAGGAGGAGGAGGAGGAGGAGGAGGAGGGCCCTGGACGGATCCTCCAAAGGCGCGCGCGGGGGGGGCCTTCTGCAAAGCTTGCCGCGCCGGCAAAGCGCATGTTTCCGAGAGATCCCCGCGTGGTCTGCCGCAGGAAAGCCCGTGTACAGGCATACGTGTTCTGCGCTTCCAAAGCCGCCGAGGCTCGAATCCAGAAGTCACTCATCGTTATGAACTAGAGCCAGACATTAAAGAATTGCGCATCGACAGCTTAAGATTCGTTGGTTTCATCGATCGCGTCGTACAAAAAATCAAGACGCGCGGTTTTCGCAATTTTCTGCCCGGGGGGTGCCCTCGCCGGGCCCCTGGGCCGTCAACAAAAAAACGACTCGGGATGAAAAACAGACCCTGGGGAACGGGTCTGGACTTCTCGGGGGATGCCATGACAATGGACACTCTAACAATCCGATCATTGAATGAAATCAGTGTTTGACATGTATATGTTATGTAAACATATATATATAGAACAGAAAAAGCAAACATGTTTTACATGTTCAAACTATGTTTGAAACATGTTTAAAACAGCTGGAAATTATTTGGCAGCATGCTTCCTCTCCATTTATCGACTTCCACAAGGGAGGCCGCGCAGAAAAAGGCAGGACGTCGCATGTCTGGGGATGCGCTGGCCCTCGGGGGGCGGGGGTGCCCAGGACCCGTCTCCCCCTGGGGACACGCACAGAGTTACCAACACCGCTGCTCCCCAGCCCTCTCCTGGGGCGCGCTCTGCCTAGGACCTCGAAGCGAATCCAGCGGTGGCGACGGAGAGTCTCCCAGGACGCCGAAAACGGCGGACAACGGGCGAAGGGCAGCGGTGGGGGTGCCGTTTCCTCCTCCCCAGAGATCCGACGTCGTGATTTGTTCAACACGGGGCCCCGGGAAGCCCCGACCCTTTGCCCAGGGCCGGCTTTTCCTCCTGAGTCGTTTTTTGACGGTCCCGAGGCCCGGCGAAGGCCACCGAGGGCCGAAAACAGCAAAAAACCTCCGTCTTGATTTTTCAATGCGTTGGATCTCTGGGCAGGACTCTCCGGGAGGGGCGGGGGCCTCCGAGAAACCCCGCCGCCCTCCGAGGAGGCCTGCCAGTGGCCTCCAAGACGCGCGTCGGCCCCCAGCGCGTCGGCCCCCGAGCCTGCCCGTCGACGGCCCCTCCTCCTCCTCCTCCTCCTCTCCCCGCCCTCCTCCTCCTCATCTCCTCCTCCTCCTCCTCCTTCCCCCCCTCCTCCTCTCCCTCCTCCTCCCCCTCCCTCCTTCCTCCTTCCCTTCCTTCCTCCTCCTCCCTCCGCCCCCCCCCTCCCCCTCCCTCCTCCTCCTCCTCCTCCTCCCCCTCCTCCTCCTCCTCCTGCGGCACTGCGGGCAAGGCGGTCCAGTCGCCGTAGCCCCGCGCCGCGCCGCGGGCCTAAGCGGCCGCGGCCGGCGCTCCGTCGCGACGGAAGGCCTCCGAAGTCCCCAGAAATCTCCGAGCGCCTCGAAAAGCCTCCGAGGGGGCAGGGGCCTCAGGGGTCCTCGGGCCCCCCCCCCGACCGAAGAAGGGGAAGGGGAAAGAGGTGCCTCCAGGGCCTCTGAAAGGGGGGGGGGAGGGGTCGAGGTGGAGGGCAGCAAGGGCGCGCTTAGCTTTGTGCTAGGCCCGCCTCCCCCCGACCACCACCTCCATAGTGGAGTACGTACTCCTCCTCGCTCGAAAGACGCGGAGGTGGTGGTGGGGGGGAACGAATTATATTTGTAGGATTGTGGGCCCCCCCCCCCCAACAGGAGAGAGCAAAAACCTTAATGAGGCCGGAGGAAGGAGCGGAGGGGGGCCCACAACCTACTAGGTGGGGTGGCGGGGCGGCCCACGGGCCCAGGTGTCATGAGTTGAAGGAGACCTCTTCCCCCTCGCGGCCGCCAGCACCCCCAGGTCCGTTCCTGGGGGCCGGCACGCTCACCGCGAGGGGGTGATCACCAACCTGTACTCCGTGGGGTGGTGCCCGCCAGTGTTGTAGCTCTGGGGGCCGCCGTGGTTGGTGCAGCCCCCGTTGTTGTCGCCCAGGTGGCCCCCGTCGGTCGGTACCCTCTGCCTCCCAAGCGCCCCATGGGCTGGGGAGGTGGACTATGCCTACCTCCCAAGCGCCCCGTGGGCTGGGGAGGTGAGCAGTGCGTGCCGACGGGTGTTGAAGAACCTGCAGTAGTAGACGACAGCTCCTTCTGGTTCTCCTCCGCCGACAGTTGGCCACCGTACTGTCCAGGTCGCGGCTCGAGGAGCACCGCGCCTGGGCGTTCTGACATCCAGCAGTCGTTGCCGTCCTGTCCATCGTAGTGCCACGTCTGTGCGTTTGTGTATGCGTCGGCGGTGGGGTGGAGTGTTTGCTCTATGGCCTGCGTCAGTGTCGTAGTCATGGTGATGTCTGCAGGGCAGTTGCAAGCAGTGAATGCTGTGGTCAGGGTTGTGCTGCACGTCGTTGTGATGTATGCATATTCCTGTATCTGCAGGTGTCGGAGGCTGCTGTCCAGGATGATGGTCGGTATGCTCATCATCATCATCCGCTGTGCGGTCCGTAGGACGTGCCGCATGCTGTCGTTGTCTTGTCGTACCGCTCTGTGCTGCGTGGGTGTGAGATCCAGTCGTCCCCACGGTGCCTCTTGCGTCCTGAGGTTGAGGTCGCGGTCGAAGGTCGTGAGGTCGGCGTCGATGATGCAGAAGGCAGCGTGGTCGTATGGTGTCGTGGCCATGTCGGAAGCCGTTGGGTCAGTTTGGGGTGGGTGCATGGTTGGCAGGTGGTGGAGTTCGATGGAGATACTGTGTCTGTCTGCGGTGGCTTGGAGGGCGTCGGTCACCGCGCTGGTGTGGTCGTGGTTCGTAGTGAAGAGCAATACAATCCGCCTCCTCCTCCTCCTCCTCCTCCTGCTCCTGGGTCAGGGGCCCAGGGCCCGTCTCCCTCGGGACCCCTATCTGCCTCGTGCCTCGGGCACTCGCCGACCCGGGCCCGTCGGGCTCTGCAAAGGAGCCAGCGAGGTCCTGCCCGGCCCTGCAAGCAGGCCCGGGCCCGTGCGCCCCGGGCACTGCGCTGAGTCGGGCGTGTCCCCCTACAGGGGGACCTTCGACGAACAATACAGAATGTTCCAAAAATACCCCCAAATGGTCAAGAACAGATACCAAAAAGATGGTCCCCAGCCTATTGCTTGACTGCTTTGGAGACTCCGCCTGTAGAGAGGGACGGGCCCGACCTCAGCACTGCAGGATCCTGCAAGACCCGGCGCTCTGACTGACCCCCCGCCCGCACTGACCCCGGAGCGCGGGCTCCCCGGCCCCGGCGGCGGGGGCACTGGCGCCGCCCTGCGCACGGGCAGCAGGAGGGGCGCGCCGCGCAGGGAGGCCGACGGGTTAGGTCGGGCGCGTCCCCCTGCAGGCGGATTTTAGAAGAGATTCCAGACCAGGAGAGCAGAAAAAAACACCACACTCATCTCTAAAGATCTAGGAAAGCGGAGCCCGAGAAGCACGAAGCATCCTCCTCAGACCATGAGGCTGCCATTCTTGAAGATTCCTCCTGTAGGGGGACATGCCCGACTGGACCGAAGGGGGAGGGGGACCGCGAGGAGTTGGGGTTGGGGTCGGAGGCTGGCTGGGAGGACTCAGCCTTATCGCTTGGCCCCAGGACTCCCAGGCGAATCTTGGAGCCGCCACTCGCGGCGAGATCGTTCAGCGGCTGCCTTCTTCGGGGCCGCCGCTTCAAACCTGCATCGGCTACTCCAGATGGGACTGGTCCACTGAATCACCGAGACAGTGTGCGCCAACACAATGCACAAGCGTGCATAGGCACGCAGTAACCTGCCCGTCACACACACACACACACACACACACACACACACACACACACACACACGCGAACGCGCGCACACAAACACACACACACACATCCACACACACACACCCACACACACACATACACACACGCGCGCGCACACACAAACACACACGCACGCACGCCGCACCCATACAGTTGACACGCACACACACACGCACGCACACACAAACACACACACAAAAACACGCACACACCACACACACACACACACACACACACAACACACACACACACACACACACACACGCACGCACCCACACACACACACACACACACACACACACACACACACACACCCACACACACACACACACACACACACACACACACGCGCACAC